ATATATATATTCCTGTCTTCCTGTCTCCCCGTTCCCCTTTATCGATTTATCCCTATTATTTATAATATATATATATATATATATATTTATTTTATTATGTGTTAAAACAGGGTTTTAGTTAGGTTGCACAAATTTTTCTTTTCTTATTTTTTAGTTTGATTTATTTTAATTTATTTTATTATATTTTATTTTATATTATTTTATTTTGTAATTATTTTAATTAATTATATTATATTGCATTGTATTCTATTTAATTTAATTTAGTTTTATTTTATTTTAATTTATTTTATTTTATTTTATTTTATTTTATTTTATTTTATATTATTTTATTATATTTTATTTTATTTTGTAATTATTTTATTTAATTATATTAAATTCCATTGTATTCTATATTTAATTTAATTTAATTTAATTTAATTGTATTTTATTTTATTTTATTTTATTTTAAATAATATTTTTCATTATATTTAATAATATATATATAATTTAATGTTGAAATGTAATATTGAAAGAACATAAGGTTTTTATATTCCTATTTTTATCTAAGTATATTTTGGTTTTTTTCTATTACTCTTGTAATATCCTTAGAGTCCTTTACGAGCATCTTGCACAACCCGTTTACAACGTCCTTTATCCTTTAGAACTCAACTTCTCTTACTCTTATTCCTCTTATACGTTGTTTCGCACAGTTAACTTCACGAATTCTAGAACGTTATGGGAATTTCTATTTCCTTTCTTGAATGTTTAACGATAAGAGAAAATAATATGTATAGAATATCCATGTGATAATGGGGATGAAAAGGGTGTAAAGTTTTCTTAAGTTTAGACAAATAGAATTTTATTTTAATTGATGTTTATTAATCTGATTTAATCATCTTATAAACTAATTAATTATTTATTATAAAATGTTTATGTTTTTTTTTTTGTTATTATTATTTTTATTAATTATAAAAATTCATGAAGTATCATTGACTGTTATTATAAATTTATTTAAAAATACAAAACATTTGCAATAATTTAATGCAGTTACCACAAAGTATTTTATATTTCATATATTCATTTAATAAAATATTTTTAATACAATTTTTATTTTTGATTCTTCATTTTTTTTTGATATTTTTTTTTTTTTTATTTATTTTAATAATAAATTTTTAATAATATTATAAAACTAATATATTATCGTATATAATTTTTAAATATTAACATTATAAATTATTATTATAATATAATATCTATAATAATAATTATTATATTATAATATTATTATAATAGAATATAAAAAATATAAATATATATAAAAATTATTATTAAAAAATGATAAAATAATTAAATACATATAAAAAAAAATACTACGATTAATATATTAAATCGTAATTTTTTTTTAGATCAAACAAAAATACCTTCAATGTATAATATAAAATATATATATAAATAATTATTTTAAAATGTTAAAATAATTAAATACATATAATAAAAAATACAATGATTAATTTATGAAATTTTAATTTTTTTTTTTTTTTTTTTAGAACAAACAAAAATACTTTCAATGTATATAAATATATTAGAATTTATTATAAAGTTCATTAAAAAAAAAAAAAAAAGAAAAAAAAACTGATCCACCTTCTATGCAACAAGGTTTGTCATTAGTATAGGTGCCATTGATTAGAAGATGGTGAAGGGNAAACAAAAATACTTTCAATGTATATAAATATATTAGAATTTATTATAAAGTTCATTGAAAAAAAAAAAAAAAGAAAAAAATAATAAAAATTCAATGTATATAAATATATTAGAATTTATTATAAAGTTCATTGAAAAAAAAAAAAAAAGAAAAAAATAATAAAAATGATATTTATGCCCATAATTATGAAAGTGGTTTAATGTAAGTCAAAATGAAAAAAAAAAAAAACAAAAAATGATTTTATCAGTTATTACGCACCACATTATTTTAAATTAAATAAATTCAATGTAATTTTCAAGATATTGTCAAAGATAAATCGTCAGAGATAATGTTTGTTATTTCAATATTATATTAAATTCATATAATGTTCAAATAAAAATCTGTAAATATCTCAAAACAAGAGATACACGACTTAGACTACTTTCATAATTACGGGCACCACATTTCTTTGACATTAAAATGAAAAATGATTGACTTTCCATTTTTTTCATAGTATGTCATAGAAAATCTAAAACGTGCATCTCGAAAATGTTCGTGAATAATCGGAAGGAAAGTTTACCGTTACCTATCGAGGTTAATGAAGACTGAATGAGTAAGTGAGAAAGAGAGATAAATGTTGAACATAGTCCTTGATTTCATCCAGACAACAACTAATAGGATTTTCGTGATCATGTCCACCCAGTACTTTCGAATCTTCTCTTTAAACTTTCATAAAATATCTTACATCTTTTTTTTTTATTTTTACATTCTTAATAATTCTTCTCAAAACTCACACACGAACACAAATCAACACATCAATATATTAACACATTAACACATGAACACATGAACACATGAACACATTAACACATGAACACATTAACACATGAACACATGAACATATGAACATATTAACACATGAACATATGACATATGAGCACATGATTTTACTGCACCCCCAACCACCACTTCAATCTCACCTCATAATTATTTTTATCAAATAATCAGTACATAATTTTTCTAATTAAAAAAATATCCTGAATTTGTTGTCTTCACTTAATAATTATTGTTAATTGTTTTTATTTTGTTTTTTTTTATTCTTTTTTCTTATTTACAAAATTTTATTGAAATAATTCATCGTTTTTTATTGGTTTCCTTTAGAAATGAAATTAGTTTGAGTTTTGTTAATCAAATTTGTAAAATAAAATATAATCATTTATTATTGGGTGGTTAGATTTTTGTAATTTTTTTTAAATTACAATCATCATTTTTTTTTTTTTTTTAATTAGATGATTGATAAAAGTATATATATGTAGAAGATAACAATCGAGTTTCGATCAAGATCAACTCGAAGTATTCTTTTCTACGTGGTGGTCTTTAACGGTAATGCGATTTAATCGATTAAATCTTAATTGGCTTGGCCATGTTACTCGATAATAATACCTATATATATATATATATATATAACTCAGTACATTTCATTACCATATATAGTAAGCATAGATATACTCAAACATATAAATAATAACACATATGAAATCGTATATGTATTAATGATATTCATGAAGAATCATCAATTTTTATAGTATACGAAGAACAAAATTCATACTATTTAATATTATTTATTTATTTTGTTCATTAATTAATTGTACATACATTTCACGTGAACTATCGAAGACAAAATATTTATTTGATTTTTACTAATATTAGGTGGTTCGGCAAGTCGTTTCAGTTTTTGCTAATGCAATAATAACATTAGTTGATGCAAATCTACAAGTAGTAACACATGAGATCGATATTAGAAGTTAAATTAATCAAATTCAACTATTTATGATCACTTGAAAGGTTTAGGTTTAACCTCTCGAAGCAAAAATTATCTTCATTTTTACAAAAGAAAAACAAAATGACTTTTTCAACCACCTAATATAATAATAATTGAATTTAATTAAAAATGATCACTTGACACGTTCACGTTGGCGCGTACCACCGGTGGCCCGCATTAGACTGTCCCATCGGGCGGCGTGTACCACCGGTGGCCCACACTAGATTGTCCCATCAGGCGGCGTGTACCACCGGTGGTCCGCATTAGACTGTCCCATCGGGCGGCGTGTAACACCGGTGGTCCACCTTGGTTCAGGTTTAAACAAGCAAAAATCACGCGCCGCCAGATGAAGCGCATCTTAGATTCGTGTGCCGTCCCACAGCGCGGACACTGAAAATCGGCGCCGACGTCAACGTGTTAAAGTGGACTAATTTTTCAAAGTAATCTTATTAAATTATAATGTATTAGTTTTTATATTTAAAAAAATTTGATTAATTATTGATAATTATTTTCGTTTAATGATCAATCAAAGTAAATTTGTCGTAATGTTATTAAATAAAATTAATATAGTGCTATGTATGAATTTTTACAAATTTTCCTCTCTCAAAAATCAATTTGATTAATTGATTTTCAATTTGATTATATATTAATACTTTAATATAAATATTTGAAATATATTTTATTTTTAATTTATCATTTCATACAATGTATACACATACGTTTGTTACACATACGTGTATCATGATGTTGTATGAGTAGAAGTAAGAATGATAAGAAAAAAAAAAAAATTAAAAAAATCTAAAAATTGAATGAATTATAATGAGAGCACGTATATTATTTTTTTGCTTAAAGGATGCAAGAGTTTCTTCAAGAGGAGTGTCAGGAGGAATCTGTCGTACTCTTGTCGAGGAAACAGGACCTGTCCCATCGACCAACATCACAGAAATCAGTGCCAATTCTGTCGGCTGAAGAAGTGCTTGAAGATGGGCATGCGCCGGGAAGGTATGCATTGTACTGAACCTTTTTTTTATCTAACTATCTTATTAGATTTAATTTTTATTACACATACATATATATATATATATATATATATATAGAAACTTGAGAAAGAGAAATAAAGAAAGTCAAAGTGGTGATGATGGTCATCTTTTCATGTTTACACAATATAATCATTTTTATATTGAAATATATTGAGATAGATTTTAAATTCTTTTATACAGAAATAATTTAACAATATAACAACAACAATTTTATGTCAATTTCATTCAATTACAGTACGAGATTTTTATTATATATATATATATA